TATAATGCTGTTTATAATTAAGTTTTAAATTAGATGTATTGTGATTTAGTATATGATTAATGATTGATCACACGAGCACAATTACATTTTCCGTAAAAAAAATGTGATCATTTTATACACCTTTTAAACATGTATTCAATTATAATATTTCATGTATTTCTAAATAAATACTACACGAACACCATTGCACTAATACTTGATGAAGTTATAGGAAAATTCACAATTAAATAATGGTAAAAGTTTTGTACTGTAAATCGTAAATTTGTTCTTTTATCAAATAAAAAAAAAAAATCTGGCATTTTTTTATTTTTTTTCAATAAAAATTGTGACGTTATGTGTTTTATGAAAATAAAAGAACATAATTTATTAATAAAAATTTTTCAATGCAAGTAATATTAAATCTAAACAAAAAAATATTTAATGTATGAGCAGCAAAACATTTCAAAAACGAAAATCGTTTGGCTTTATGAAAGGTTAATTAAATGCATTCGAAACATCAATAGAAAATACCAGTTTTTATATAATTATAAAATTCCAAACAAAATCAAATTCAAGGTCTACATAAAAACGAATTAAATTTACAAAACATGTACGTGACCTTTAAACAAAAGAATTCCAAAAAAAACCCCACACTAAACGGAAATTCGACAACTGGCCAACGTGATGTTCGAAACTCAGCATTCGGGTCAAACGAAGTAAATTTATGGTCATCGCATATGAAAAAGTTTTAAATCTCCTTTCCTTTCAAAATAGGAAGAATCTTTTTTAACCCTGACCTACATGCCAAGTACGTTTATATATTCCCGGAAGACTACACGCCATTTTGACAGTCTATTGTTATTCAAATGTTGATTTATTCCAAAAATAATACAATAGAATATGAAATAAAACGACGTTTAGAATCATTGAAAGGTCATTTATCAACCTTCACTTTACCCGAATGTGTGCAAGACTGCTTGAGTAAGCATAATTATCGAAATCACTTTTACTGTGATTCGAAGTTTTACAGCTACATTGAAATGGAAGAGAGACGTAATTAAAAATATCGTTTATATTTGTATGGATGCGTGTGGTTGAAAAGTTTAAATCTTTTGAGAAAAACTTTTGAAAAACTGCACACAAACGACATGAATTTAAAAAAGTAACGTGTGTATTTTTATATAAATATACATTTATAGAAGTAATTTTTCCAATATTAACCCTCTGACCGGAGTATCCGTCTCTCAACCAGGGATGATTTGCTTTGATGCATGTAGGTGTAATTTTTTGGGGAAGGCTGCCTTGACATCTTCATTTAGACTCTACCCAGTGAGAGGATCACGTGGTGGTGCATGACGATTTTTTTCAACTCACGATATGTGCGATTTTTCTTATCTATCACCGTCTATCAGACGGATATTCCTATAGTTTTTTCGTGTTTGGTAGTATTATTTTTAATTACTTTTACATGAACATAAATAATTTTTAATCAGCTTTTATAAAAATACTAGTTACAATTCTAGTGATAAAAATATATTGTTGTGCTTGATTCAACCCCACACATCTTATTTGAGCCATACTCAATTTCATGAGCTATAAGGACATTTAAAACAGTTCTTAAGGTAATAAAATTCAAAAAAAAAAATTACGTACCCGTCTGTCAGACAGATGTTTCTCAGTGGGCAAAAATATTTACGTATCCGTCTGTCAGACGGATGATTCTTAGTGCGGCAAAAAAATAGATGTTCCGGTGTCACAGGGTTAAAAAGACTTTCAAGCTGAAACTTGAAATAATCTAACAATCTTTTAAAAAATAGAAATGAAACTTAATCCAGTCGATTTGAAAATTAGTATGTAAAATTTTAAACGTTATAGGGGAGATCCAGTGTGTAATAAAGGGAACAAAACAAACATTTTAGTTTTATTTATTAGTAAACAAGTAACATTTTAGCAAACAAAACAAACATTTACATACATAACTAAAGGACAAATATTTCGATCAGAATTAAGAGGATCGGGGATTGGCAGTTTATCTGCGGGCCTCTGGACTGTGAAAGCAGTCCTCAATCCCATATCAATCCCACATCAATCCTGCGGAGAGGCATGCAGGTGATTGGTTGTTGCGAGGAGATCCGGGAGGCGTGGCTTAGAATTCTCATCTGGACGGGAAAAAGGATTGGAGAACATGCTCGAACGTCCTTACAGTACCGAAGCTTGGCTATCACTGAATATTGTTCTACCAGCTAGAGGACATGAAAGTCTTTCTACAGTTAATATGGGAGTCTAAACAAAGGATGGTTACAACGGGATGTTTTCAAAGTACAAACAATATGAAAGAGTTCACAGCTTAAAGATTAAAAACATAGTTCATTTAGCCTCTCGAAATGTATTTATTTTAGAGTTGATGATGGAAATAGAGTAGATAATCCTGTTTTATAAGATTAATAAGGCAATTAAAATGCAGTTTCAATTTCGCAGATATATTAGAGCTAGATTCCTGCTATTTTAATTTAATATTTTACTTTTACCATACAATAAGTAGGTTAAATAATTTACTTATTGTATGGTAAAAGTAAAATATTAATATTAAAGGAAAAGAGTAAAGTAGGAGAAAGTGAGTTTTTAATAACGTCGTACTATAACGCACTCCAAGGCAATTGGCAGAATGCTCAAGGGAGCCAAGCTCACCCGGCGATGGGCGTGGTAATATTGAACCAAGATAAAATGACGAGGAGACACCTAAGGTGACCTTACCCTCTTAACTTCCACACCACGCCAACGTAAGGACTTTAAACCATGAAAATTTAACGTGCATCAGCTCCTTTACACAGTGGGCCTTTAGTGGTACTAGGATTCAAACAAAAGTTGGCCACGATTTCGCGACCACGCTACCGCGTCCACTGAGTTAAAAAAAATTAATGATAATTAGAGAAAGTCATATAATGTACAGGTTAATAATATCTATAAAAACATATATTTACTTAATTTAATCAACAAAAACCGCATTGTCAAAGCGTCTCAGGGTTTAATTGAGGGCGCAAAGGAAAAATGTACTTAAAGTATATAATTTTCTGAAATTTTTAAGGGAATTATTTTTTGCGCTAAAATCTAACTAAATAACTTTTTATGCATAAATGCTCTATAAAACTACTTTTTAAATTTCATGAAAATGAATAATCCTGATACATCAAAGCAAAAAGTATGTAAATTAAAACATTTTAAACCAATTAAGTTAAAAGCCAATATACTTTGATATATCTGAGTATTTTTTAAATTAAAATTGAAAATTTATATGATGAAAAATGGTTACTCATAATCTTAACTTGTAAAAATAAAAATCGTTAATGTTCATTTAATGATTTGTCTTGGTTATCGTAGACAAAATTTATGAATACTTCACAAGATAAAAATATTTTGTAGCATAAATTTTCCTTTACCATTAGTTAAAACTATTTTAAAATATTATAAAATTACAAAACTCGCACAAAAAAAGAAACAAAAATAAATCAAATTGCAAAAACTGCGATCCAAATAGTTAAAAGTATAAAGAAAATAAATTTAAATTACTATATTTCTTTGTATTATAAAGTATTTTATCGATGTGCAATAATCAGGAAAAAAACGCTTCAAGCAGTTTAATTTTATATGTATAAATCCTTAGAGAAAAACATTAATGCTTATCTTATACATCTGACAAACCAAATCTGATTGATAAAGAAAGATAAAGTTCTATTCAATAAATTTTAAAGCTTCTCAACTGTCTATCTTATTTTTTATTATTTTGTTTGTCCTTTCATATTTTATTGAACGATATCACAATTTTTTGCGTTGAAAACCTTTCAAACTTTAATAATTCGACTTTTTTTTTTTCCTTTTTGAAAAAAAAATGTTAAAAAGAAATAAAAATTGCGGTCAACAAACTAGAAATAAAATTCTTTCTAGAGAAAAGATTCCAATATGTTCACAAACAAATAAAAATATAAAAATACGAAAAATCTTCCCCCTCCCCACCTCGCAACTGTACCGCCGAAAGCAACACTACGAAGATCTCAAGAGGTTTCAATGTAATTCTACAATTTCAGTAGAGTTCTCAAAATTGAAATTTAAGTATTAATGAAATAAAATAAAAAAAAAAAAAAGAATTCACATGCAATATCATGAAAGTTTCTAGACACAGCAAGGGACGATTGTAAGAACCTTCTTATGAGATTAAAACGATGTTGTCTGATTCCAGATTTTTGTTGACTTTTGAAAATGGATTTCACTTTCTTATCGAGATGCAATTGATTTACAGCTTAGTTTGTATGCATTTCCAAATGCAGGATATTACTTTAATAAGATGTAAGATATTCTTCATTTTCTATATATGGCGTGTTTATTTTGTATGGGTTGAGCTTCAAAAGTCATAAGCATAGGTTTATATTTAAATTTTGGAAAACGGAGAACTGAATATCAAACAGGAAAAAAATTCAGGATAAAATCTGGTATATTGATATATGGAAATGTCGTTGATTTAAATATTTTAAATATTCAGTGATAGCATATCCTATTAAAATTCCAACAAAGGTTGAGATAATTGACTTTCAGCAGGGATGCTGTAGAATTCAAATTCACTGTCAAGATTGAAATTTTAAAAATGTTTAACTAAACATAGAATAATGAGATTAATTTAAAATACCACACATTTCAAAGCAAATTTTACTTACAAACCTACTTTTTACGTTATTCATAATTATTTGCATTTTAATACTCTTACCAGTTACTGGCACACACACAATTGCTGCATAATATAACAAGTAATATAAAAAAAATATTTAATCAATTTCTACTTCTTAATCAATTTCTCTTACTCTCATTTTATTAAATAATTACAATTAATATAAACATGTATATACATATGACAGAATCACACTATTAAGTGGCAAAATAGAAATTGATTTTTCTTTCTATATATTGTGTCTGGCTACTTTTTTGTTTGTTACTATTTCTTCACTCATAAATCACATTCTAAGAAATTAGGCCATCCCAGGTAGGATTTGAACCCACGACCTTTGTATCAGAAGCCCAAAGCGCTATCCATTGCGCTACAGAGATATAACGATCGATTTTCCTTATTATATATGGTGCCGGACTATTATTTTTATTTGCTCTTATTTATTCATTTTTTAATTTAATGAATGAATTAATATTTGAAAAAAACTGTATCAGCATCAAGTGTCATCCACTACAAGTTTAAAAATGTATTTGAACTTGAATGGATGAATAGAAAGTATTTTATTAACGATTGAAAATTTGAACAAGATTATATATATATATATATATATAGGGAGATTGTGAAATAACAGTAGGAATTGAAAACTAATTCTATAAGAGAGAGAGAGGTAACTGCACTCAATAAAACCTAACCAGCGGTATAGCAAAACTGCGTAGCCGTGATAGCCAAGTGGTCATGGTCGCGAACTCATATGGAAGTTTGCTTCCGTCGAGTCGTTGATTCGAAACCTGATGCTGTAAAGTCCCGCTAAATAGAACTAATGCAAGTTAAATTAGTACCGCTTAATACCAGCCGTGTAGAAGGGGCCGATGCACGTTAAATCTGTCGAGATTTAAACGTCCTCCCATTGGTATGGAGTTGAAGTAGGAGAAGGGTGTCAGCTTAGGTGTCATCCTCGTTACTAGATCGAGGCTCAAAATTACAAGGCCTGTCACCAATAGCCAAGTTTAATCTATTGAAGTTCAAAGACCTCGCGTTTGGCGTGGGTGAGTGAATATTAACGTCGCACTGTTCAGCTACACGAGGGCTTTTGGTGACGGACCTCGCAATTTTGAACCATGGTCAAGTGACGAGGACGACACCTGAGCTGGCACCCCCTCTCATAACTACCACACCACACCAACGGGAGGACGTTTGAGCTCTCGACAGATTTAACGTGCATTGCCCCCCTACACGGTGGGTCTTTAGTGGTACTGGTCTTGGACTCGTGATATGCCAGCCACGATCCGATACCTTGACCACTAGGCTACCGTGGTCGCGCGTTTGGCGCGGAATCAATTTTTGAAGAATGGGTTTCCAATTAGGATGTTATTCTCGTCACTTGACCACGGTTCAAAGGTACGAGGTCTGTCTTTAATATGTCTCGTATTGCCTCGAAGTATGGGATAATAACCTTTGTTGCTCCAAATCCCACATAAAGATATTAACTGTAACTGCTTCAAAGTGAGAGAGATGTTAATATATAGTGAATCACATAGCTAATAGATTCTAAATACTCATCTTCACCATTTACTGTTGAAGCACAAGATGATAGCCAAGTTTACAGATGTACAACGCAATCACGACCTATCGTTGCATCCTAATTCAAGAAAATAATCCAATTTCTTTCGGAGCATAAAACGCTGGCCAAGTCTACAGGTATACAGTGCTATCACTGTATTGAACTGAACTGAACTAGTGAATCAAGCAAAAAATAGGGTTATATATACACAGATAAATGACAATATAGAAGTCCAATATTGAAGTTCAATTTTGCAATGCATAGGAGGAAAAAGTGTAAAAATTTTAAATAAGATTCTTGAAAAATTAGTATCAGAAATGAAATCGAAATTCCACACTACACCAACGGGAGGACATTTGAGTCTCGACAGATTTAATATGCATCAGCCCCCTTTATACAGTAGATTTTCAGTGGTACCAGGCTCGAACTCATGACATGCTAGCCACGAGTCCTTGACATTGACCACAAGGCTACCATGGCCACTTGATTTAGAGCGCAACGTAACCGAAAATCCAATTAAATATAAAATGACAATGTGGCTCAAAATAATAAAATAGAAATATTTTTCCAGGAACATATTTTAACAAATATTGTCCAGAACAACAAGGAGAATAATGTTCCTAAGAAATGGCTATTCCACATACATCATATGAATATACTCAAAATTGGTAAGATTCAATTCAGCGATTTCTTCCGCTATATTCTCACTGCATCCAAACGTTACATGGAGATCCACAAAAGACACTCTTCCCCAAAACTTTTATTCTTAATAAATGATTTTTCTCCGTCCTCTGCTTTCTTGGCCCGGAGGTTAAGGTAGAAGCTCAGCATAGCAATCTGATTATCGGATACATCTCCGTAGGGATGCATCAATAAAGGACCTTCTATTCTCATCCCATCTTTCTTTGGGAGGAAAGGGACTTATACTTTGGAAGAGATCAGAGGAATTTGAGTATTCTACCAGAAAACAAGTGGGATCATTGGTGGACTGGGAAAAGGAAAGTATTTTGCTTTTTGCCCAGATAAAAAATATTTGGGAGGAAATAACTAAATAATAATGAATTCTTTCGGTATGTAATAAGATTCGTTACTTTCAGTGGTATACATAAAATGAGGTCCAGAAGTAAGCATATATATCTTCTTGCCAATTAAAAATAAAAAAAGGTTATAATTATTCATTGCGAAATTAATATTGTTCGAAATAATTGGGATATTGTCATGTCCTATCATATGCTCTTTAAAGTATCCGGCTACGTTCGGAACCGTGATTTTGCAAAAGCGTATACATGGATAATATTTATGATATTTAGTGTCACTTAGATTAGAAAATGTATATAAAATTGTTTTAAAAATATTATCACAATAAAACATTATTCAAGTACAATATTTGGACAAAAAATTAACATAGAATGACCCATTTTAAAAATATTCTCCTTTTGTGAAAAATTCTTTTATTATAATAATATTTTGCCTGTATATAGCTCAGACCTCTGTACAGAGACTCAACTGGAATTTTTGAAATATATAACTTAGAAGTGGGTTTATCCGTGTTTTACGACAACAGAGGGGAGAAATTTTAAGAAAAAGAACGCTGATAATTATTTCAATGGGTTGTAACTCTGAAAATAATGTGAATTTTTCAAAAAAAATAGTTTAGACACTCTGGAGAAGTCTCTCTCTCTTTACTTTATATAAGCACACACGAAATATTATTAGTTTAGAAGCATTTTTTATAAAAGGAGAACATTTTGAATAAAGGTTATTCTTTCATTTTTTGCCAAAATAGTGTATTTAAATAATTTTTTTTGTCTTAATGTCCTTAAAACAATTTTACACATGCATTCTAATCTAAAAGACACTAAATATCATGAAAATTGTCCATGTATGTGCTTTTTTAAAATCACGGTTCCGAACGTAGTCGGATACCTTAAAGATAAAAACGAATATTAATACAGAACACTATAAAATGAATTTAAAATAACAATCATTCTGAGTTATTTATAAACATTAAAAGTAACTTGAGAAAATACATTAAAAAATAATTTCTATAAAATCATGTTATTTTGTTCTTTTTAAAACTGTATTATTATTCTCTCAATTACTTTAATGGTAAATTCATTTTCAACTTCTGGCTAGAATACTATAATTTCTATGTTCCATATCAAAGATATACATTTCGAATCCAGTAATAGTTGTAGTTGAACCCAACTAAAGTTTTGATTCTGATCCAATTTTAGAATAGTATATCGATAGAACCAGATTTATTCTTTCTCTTTCGATTTTTGGTTCAGTAAGACGTTAATAACTGTATAATTTTACATATTTAATGCATATAAGCAGTGGTAATTCTACTTCTTCTATTGACACAACAGCCCTGGGTGGGCCAAGGCCTTTTCAAGATCCTTCTTCCATTCCGATCTTTGCTTAGCTACAGTTCTCTTAAAATTTTAAAATCGTCCTCCACACAATGAGCCCATCTCAATTTGGGCCTACCCCTAGTCCTAATTCCAATAGGTTTGTAAATAAAAATTCTGAACGTCAAGCATGGAGGTCAGTACGGTAGATGTGGCCCGCAACCCTCAAACGACCAATCTTCATGGATTTAACATAACATGTACTTCCTAAAATAGCTTATATAAATCTAAATTATGTCGTTTTGTCTTCACAATCTATTTTCATTCGCAGCACCAAAGATATATCTAAAAACTTTTCACTCAAAGAGGGATAGTTGTTCAGTCTGTGACTTAGTCCAAGTTCAAGCACGGATTTGATGATGTTTTATACAGCGTAATTTTTGTATGTCTCTTAATCAAATTTGATTTTAAGAAAGTTCTTAGACCATGAAATCATAGATTAGCAGCAATAATGCGTCTTTTACTTTCAGCACCAATGCTGTTTAGAATGTCAATGCTTAAGCCCAAATAGACAAAATTATCAACCACTTCAAACTTATAATTTGAAGTGTGTAGGTATTTAAAACAAACCTGCTGGAGTTTTTTTTTTAATTAGCATGTATTTAGTTTTGTCTTCCTTAATAATTTAACTGCAACTTTTCAGCCGACTTCTTAAGGGTTAGAGATGCCTCTGACAAAGCATTTTTTTAGTACGAACAATGATTACTTTTTCAACGGGACAGCAGATAATTACATTACATATGTTTGTGCACATTGCATTTCTCGTTTATTTCTGCAACACACATTCTGAGCATTTTTTTTTTTACTCTATCACATTTACAACAAAATAATTTAACTTTTAAAAGAAACAAAAGACCTAACTTGACTTAACCTTTTGGATCTTTTGAACAAAATTGAAAGTACTGTAGTTTTAATTACAAAGATTCACGAAAAACAATTTTAATTTTCAAGCGAACACAGTATGAACAAATGAGTGGAAATTCCGACACTAGCAAAAGTGTAATGATTTTACAGTCGTGTGTGTGTATTTAAGTATATAGCTTCAAAAATAATTAATTTTAGTAATTATTTATTTCAAATCAAAATGAAACTACGAAATTTTCGAAACGTTGCTGCTGGAATATAAGATTTGAAATTTTACGGAGTTCGAAAGATGCTTAAAAGAACATATATTTTGAAGCAATTTAAAGACGTAGAATTTAATAGAAGCACATAGAATTATTTAAAAAAATATTTACTCGAATTCACAATGTTTTCTTATATTTTCGGTTACTAAAAATAATCTAAGCTAAAATCAGGAATTAAAAAATTACTATATTTTCCCAAATATATGTCTGGGCATAAATTGTTTTTCTTGATAAATTTTTATCCATTTATAAAGGAAAACACTATCATTAGCATGCTT